TTTAGTACGGGAAATCAAACTCAGGGCCTTGCCCTTGCTGGGCAGGCAAACTGAGCGACATCCCAGTACCATCTACCTAAACTTTATATTTCAAAGTGCTCGATATTCAGATGAAATTATAATAGTTAAACTCTCTGCTTCCACTGCAAAACCGATGTAACTGATTTTCTCTTCTGGGTATTTAATGACTGAAGTTTGGAGACCAGAACTAGAAAGGTATCTGGGCTGAGGACAACCAGTATTTTGGCCCTAGCCCTCCAAAGTTAACAACGACCCAGGTCATGAGGGACCTTTTCTACAGGATCCTACAATTTTGGTGAGTCACCAAACCTCCTGAGCAGGGATATTGCTGGACACTAGAGAAAAGGAATCAATGAATGTACAGTGAGCCAAAAAAGAGAGTCACCAAAGAGGGAAAAGTCTCCCGTGCTTTCACAGAAAGCAACATGATCAAGAAAGACTTTGACCCATTCTGGCAGTTGACACAAACAGAGGAACTGAGGGGTTCTGTACAAGGTTCTAAAAGTAATGCCTGAGGAGACTGAAAGGACCGTGACAGACAGCAAGGCTATTCAAGTTAATTTTGGTTAACACGGGTTTCATTTTAGCTTGATTTTAAACACCTAGCAGAAAAGTATAACCAAAAGATATATGAAAAGAGTACCACAGTAATAAAGTTGGATATAAAAAAGGGGCTCCAGTCGGCTGACCTTTTCTGCCAGTTTCCAGCTATACTGGTAGCTGACCATTGTTATGGTTCAGTGAGGCTAAAATCCATGGTGGAAGCTATGAAAACTCAACAAGAGTCCTTACATTCCTTAGCTAAAGTCGTCCTTTGAATCCACCAAAATCTCCATCTTCTTGCAGCTAAAACCAGAGGGAATTTTGACAATAAATATCAGACTTATAGATAACTTTTGTCAGTAGAGGAGTCTAAGAGCCACGTGGTTACAATCACTATTCTCGTCTCTAAAGAGCAGCGTCTGGACACGGCTCTTTTCCCAAACTGGCTTTCCGCTCTAGTGTTCATACTTCGACTATGCATGTTTTAATTTTTTGGAAAATTTGCTTATTCTTTCCCAGAGGCTGCCAAACTCCAGGTGATCATGCAGATGGGACCAACAACGAATGTGCCAGTCCCCTTTCACTGGGATCCAGCAGATCAACCTGGTAAAGGGGGTCACAACTGCTAAACTAAAACATGACTTTTATTTAAGGCCCATTGGATTAATTTTCTGTAGAAGGCTCTGAACTGTGGTCTCCCCTACACCGACCCTTCTCAGCTTGAAACAGCTACATGGAAACTACACTCCTCCCCTAACTGAGGTTCAGGATACCTCTTTGGGTTGGGGGGATATTATAGTCCTCTAAGTTAGGTAGAAGTAGCGTAGGCAGTCAGATAGCCCTCAAATGATTCAGTGCAGAAGATGAAAACACATGAGAACTGTGGCTGGGGCACATCTGAAGAGGATTAAAGTCACAGTGGCCAGATTTACACACTTCCCTAAGGGATAAATGGAAGTTTGAGATATTGGTAGCACCCTTTGGAGATTTCTAATACATAAACCATTATCTCATTAGGGATGGAAAATCCTCTCTCACACACTAAGAATAAAACTAAAGATGAGACTAAGACTATAGATTATTGACCAAGGTTAATGATGTCATCCATATGCCTTTGCTACTATTGGATCAATGTTAGTCAAGCAGTTACACTTGTAATCTTATTTAGTACAGTTAAAAAGGAGTTGAGTAATTCCCTTTCATTCAACTGTAAATGCCACATCATCCTAATGATCATCTGGGCTTAAACTTGGACCACTCTAATGATTACCCAGGCTTAAATTTAAGACCACCTAATGATTATCCAGGCTTAAATTTAGGACCACCCTAGTGATTATCTGGGTTTAAATTTAGGAGGTTGCACAGATTGCTGACGTCAGAGAAACAGTGAGAGGCACCTTGGATCAGAGGTGCCTGATCTTATAAATACTAGAAGTCTGAGTTATCGAGGACCCCTCTTCTCCCCTTTCACACTTGAGCCCTATTTTCCCTTCTTATTTGGGTACTTTTTTCTTTCACACTCTTTCTCTTTGCCCTTCTTTCTGTTACTGATGTCATCCTATGATCTTCAATAAATGTAGCTACTTACTACATACATAAGGTGTAGGCTTGGCAATTCTTTCCCTGTCTTACACAAGATCCTGGATTATTTTTGGCCAACTCAACTGTAACATATTGGTTGATTACAGTTTTGACCCATGTTGAACTCACTTTGTGACTGTGCCCTATAAAACTTTCTCAAAAAGGTTGGCTCATTCGCAACCCGTTTGGGATACCTCCTGTCTCAAGAGCTATTCCTATTCTCAGATAGATTTTTATACTCTTAAAATCATCACTTTTTCTGTGAAAACCTTTCTGATCTCAGTTCCTATTCCTTCTTCTGCCCATGTGGAAGTAGTACCTCCTTCTCAGAGTTTGCCAAACTCTCTGAACTATGTCTATCAGCATAATATGCCATTATTCTACAATTATATTTGATTCCTCAGCTGGACAATGAGCTCCATGAATACAAGGAACACGTTCTATCTTTTTATATATGCCTAGTTTCCTGGTATATTCAAACATTAACAAACACTTGTGGAATAAATAAATGATGCTGTATGGTATTATCATTTGTACTACCTGCTGGTTCCTTAACCGTATTATGTACACCTTTAAAATCTTTTTATTTTTTGGGGTTTCCACAGAAACCATGTAAAATAAATTCTGGCAAGTGCTATAATTTATTCAGAAGCTCCTCTCTGTTGAGTTGTGGGCTTGGCTTTTCTCGGAAAGTTTCATGACTAGGCTTTGTTATGATGCCTATCTGTCCTCCACCTTTACTGCTTGCCAACCTCTCCTCTGAGGTAGGAAGTCCACTTACCTGTCACCAACAGTCCTGGTGTTTTCCAGTTGTCTGCACAAGAGCTTGGCAATGGTAGTAAAGCTGTTGCTGATGCAGAAGATGTCCCTGCTCTGAGGGCCCAGGATGGAGGAGAAGCTGTCGGTGATGCGCTTGATCTCTAGCAGGAGAATAGGATGAAATGAATGTTCCATATCCTCTAGCTGGCTTACCAGGTACACCAGGCAGCTCCTGGCTCTCACCTGCCAAGACCAATGAAGGAAAAAAAAAAGGAAATCAGAATCCCACAACTAGCTGGTGACAATTACATATAAAGTTGATTGAAGAGGCTAGTTGCTGCTAAATATATAATAAGTTTCATTTATAGCTCCTCTGAATCTGTTTGTGTGAGGTTTTACACCTCACAAACACAAGACAAACACTTAAAAAGCAACATTTTTCCAATTACTTTTTTTTTTTTTGCCTTGCTGGTGATTGAATTTAAAGTCTCAGAAGAGCCAGGCAAGCATTCTACCACTGAACTACATCCCCAACCCAAGTTAACCCTTTCTAAACAATATGAAAAGATTTTATTAGCCTATCTTAGCATGCCAAACCCCTCAACTTCTTTAACAATCTGAAGCCACATGTCCACCCTTCTCAACTACATGACTTGGTAGCTCTTTGTGCATGGGGAGGGATGGCCAAGAGTCTTGAAGTGAGCCTCTATCCCGGCATTCTGAAGCCATCTTGGTATCAGATGATGGCCTCATGCCCTATTGTGTGCAGGGATTACCTCATTTTTACAGGGCGTTCTTGTGCATTTGTTCATATTTCAACATATTAAGTTCTTGGAAAAAGTGAGATTTCGTTATCTAGCTTTAATCAAGTTAATTCTTACAAGTAATTGAAATAAGTTCCTTCAAAGAAATAAAGGTAAGATGAGTATAATACAGGTGTTTGTGAAAACAACAATAAAACGTGGATCAGGAGACACATTTCCTATAAAAATGTACGTTCCTCCTTAGCCATACTTTGAGGCTCTAAGTCAACAGGTTGAGAAATTATGAAAAAGAAAAATGCAAAATTACCAAAAGCTTGCTTGGTAGAAATGTAGATTTGTGCCCAATGGAAATACTAATGCATTCCAATAAATACAAACTATTCAAAGAAGAGCATTTCATCTTTAAATTCTCTTTTAAAATCTTAACTTTTAGTGTGTATGTAAACATTTCTTACTGTATATAATTATAAATCAATATATTATTGGAAGTTGGCATCAGTGAAGAGATGCGTAGATCTAAGTTTCACTTCTATTCAAAGTTCCCTTTTACCTTTTGTTCCAGCATCTGAAGCTTTAATTTCCTTCAAGGTACAATTGCTATTTCCTTCCTGAAGCTGTCTGTAGTGACCCCTTCTGTCTGAATTTTCATTACATTGACTTTGCTTGATTGCTTTTAATCACTGGTTTACTCAAGCTTTTATTCCATCACCAAATAGGCATTGTATGCCAGTAATATGCCTGTGCTCAACTCTAAACGACAAAGATGAATGCGGGAGGTGGTTTTGCCTTAAAGGAACTCACAATTCCCCTTTCGCTTGCAATTCTCTGATGGTTACACACGCCAGTCAAGTCTCTTAAACAGGCTTCTCCTCATTCATCATTCATTAACCTGGCACAGAACTGAGTCTGCAGATTGTACACCAGTGTGTGTGTGTGTGTTTCAATTCACTTATCTGTATAAGCCTATGTGCCAAAATACGCCGTTACAGATGAAGTATGTAGTTGCAAAGAAATTATCAGCTTTACAAGAAATATTTACTCTAGAACAAATTGAAGTAGTAAAGTTCTCTAGTATTTAATACTTGATTTTCAAAGATTTCATTTCATATAGGATTACACTGGCCCACAGCTCTTGGGGACATGGGATACATCTACTAATTAATAACTTAATCTCGCTTTTGAGCTCCACTAGGATACAATACTCCATGAGGGTTTAGGCAGAGGTTTGTGCTTTCATAAACCGGGCAGCCAATTAAAGAATAATTATTAATTAAAGGACAACAGTATTAGATAACTGAAAAATAAAGACCACAGGAATAAGTTCTTGTTTGTTTCTGATCTTTTTACCTGTGTATGACACACCCCTCCTTATTAAAACAGAAAACTGTCCTTTTTTCTTGGCCTTCTACAAACAATATAGTATGACAATTTTTGTATAGCATTGACGCTGTTTTAGGGTAGGTGTTCTAAGTATTCTAAAGGTAATTAAAGTACACAGGAGGATGTGTGTCAGTTATTCGTAAATACTACACCATTTAATATAAAGGAACTGAATAGCCACGGAATCTGGTATCCATGGAGATCTTGGAACCAGTCCTCATGGGTACCTAGGGATGATTACAGTGCAGCAATGTAAGTAGCTTTGCTTGAGGTGGGAGGCTCACTTCATTCATTATCTAGATAGTGTCTACCAAATAGTCAAAACCTAACGATCACAGGTTAATGATTCATTCAAGTGAAAATTATTCGGTGAAAAAAGTGGTTAGCTTAGTTGGGGGCCAAAGGCATAAGTGGTTTTTTCTTAAGGTAACACTATACTTCTGTATTTCATATGCAGCAGAAACACTGAGCCAGTGCATATTTTCCATGTAGCCACGTAGAATATTAAGATGTGTATCCAGGGTTCAGATTCAAGAAAATTAATTGTTTAGTCTTTCATCAAACTAAATTAGCACTTCTTAGAGGGAGGGAGTGGGGGCCAGACAGAGAATAGTGATTTTGTTCCCAGAGAACATACGGAGACTGTCTGCAGACATTTTTGGTTGTCATAACTGAGGGATTGAAGTGGGGCGCTGGCAGAATCTAAGAAGTAGAGGCCAAAGATCCTACAATGCACAAGAAAGTCCCCTACAATTAAGAATCGCTAGCCCAAAGTGTTGATAGTGCCAAGGCTAAGAAACAGTGAGTTAAGTGAAGACTATTTTTCCTCCTCTGTCTTGTGGTGTGTGGTGGTGAAGATAAAACTACGAATTTTTGGCAGTTTGGTGCCATTGTCCTGAAATGTGCTCGGCACTAGCTGTTTTACCTCTTACTGCTTTGTTCTTTGTCCATTGCTTTATATTCTTGCAGTACAAACGTCGACACAGTGAAAGTGATAGTGTCTTGGTATTACTGTGGAAATAGCTCTAACCTCACAGATCTCCTCAAAAGATCTAATAAGGGGCCCATGGACCACCCTGAAAATTAGTGAACCAGAATCAGAGGCTGGAACACTTTTTCAATAAAGAGCAGACAGTCAATATTTTCAACTTAGTGGGTTATATGGACTCTCTTGTGACAAAGCAGATCTAGACAGTAAATACAGGACTGAACATGAATGGATTGGCCCACAGGTAACAATCTGCAGACCCCTGAACTATGTTATATGTTGAAAAATTGCACTGGTCACATTGTTTATTTTTATCAGTGTTATTTGTTTTCTTTGTACATTGTTATTCCTATCTCATAAAGCTCCTCATTAGGCATTATCCAGATAATGGAATGTGGCTTAGAAAATGACCAAAAATGAAAATGTGGGCCTGGTTATAACATAGCTTCCTTTTGCTAATCATCCATTATGTGCCAGGGGCTTGACATGTGTTTCTTCACCTAATCCCTACAAGCTTGCAAAGAAGGTTATTCTAGATGAAGATACCCATGTCCACAGGGACAATAACGTGACGAGAGTTACGTGGGTAACAGACCTTATTATGGTGGAGCAGATACCATGTCTTCCAAGCCTCTTTTGAATAACAAAATAAATGTCCTCATTATTAAATTCAACCAGTTGAATTATTTCAATATGATCTGATAACAGACTTAACGAATCAAAAATAAGTCTTGATGAAGTCTGTGTTTTACTATAAAAATTATTATTTTTGTGGCTTATAGTAAATACATTAACTATTCAATGATTTTTTTAACACTGGAGAATATATGCTATGCATGCGAGAGAGAGAGAGAGAGAGAGAGAGAGAGTGTGTATGTGTGTGTGTAAATAGTGAAATAAATCATCAACATTGAAAGCATCTGTGAAGCCTGTCTCACCTCACTTCCTCCGCATATCTCCTTGGTAGTGATACCAATATTATATTTTATTTAAGCTTCTTTTGATATACTGGGGATTGAACCTAGGGCCTTCACATTGGGCTACATGCCCAGCTCTCTTTAATTATTTTATTCTTACCAAAGTTTTTGATACATAATAATATCATCAACATTGAAGGCATCTGTGAAGCCTGTCTCACCTCACTTCCTCCGCATATCTCCTTGGTAGTGATACCAATATTATATTTTATTTAAGCTTCTTTTGATATACTGGGGATTGAACCTAGGGCCTTCACATTGGGCTACATGCCCAGCTCTCTTTAATTATTTTATTCTTACCAAAGTTTTTGATACATAATAATTACAATCATTTTGTGAATTAGTACATGTACATACCACATTTTGATCATTTTTATTCCCCCGTCACTCTAACTCTCCCTACTTCCCCAAATCCCCATCCCATCTCTACAAAGTCTACCTCCTTGTTTTCTACCATCGTGCTTTTGTTTTGCTCTTTATTTTTATTTCTGGGTTTTTCATATAAGAAAAAAATTTTAACTTTCTGCAATATTTAGCCTTTTGTGTCTGATTTATTTCACTTAGCATTATGGTATCAAGATCCAACCATTTTTTTCTACAAATAACTCAGTTATCTTTCTTTATGGGTGAATATGTGTGTGTGTGTGTGTGTGTGTATATATACACACGAACACGTTTTCTTTATTCATTCATCTGTTGATGTGCCTGTAGGACACTTCCAAGATTTAGTTATTACTATGAGTTCTGCTGCTATAAACATGGGTATTCATGTATCACTGTAACATGATGTCTTCAACTCTTTGAGAGAAGACACCCAGAAAAGATACACCTGGATCAAGTGGAATTTCCATTTTTAGTTTTTTGAGAAATCTACATTCTGATTTCCACAATGGTTGTATCAGTTTACATTACCACCAAAAATGCAGGTGAACCCCTCAACCTCACCAATATTTGCTGTTTTTGAGCCACTGATGGAGTAAGATAGAATCTTAGTGCTGTTTAGATTTGCATTTTTCTAGTGGTCAAAGATGCTGAACACTTTCTTGTACTTAGTGACCCTTTGTATTTCTTTTAGGTGTCTATTCATTTTAATTTTTGATTGGGTCATTTATTTTAAAGGGTGGGATCTGATTT